ATCCATTCCAATTTTTAGACATGGTTTCTATTACCATGAGCAAATTTAAGACAGGAAAGGACTGAAGAAGATAGATATTCATTGCAGATAATAGTAATAATAATAATTATAAAAGTAATAGTAGTAGTAGCATCTCTGGAATTCAGTTTAACCATTTATTCTCCACTAATTTTGGGGGAGTTCTTCTACCTTCTGCTACAAATAGCTTTGTTTTACACGATGTCCTTTTGCCACATCCTGATTCTCCGAAGATTCTCACCCAAATTCTGGTCCCACCGTTCTAGCCAGCTCTAATTATTTCTTAGTTCTTCTCTCTTGTTCCATACAAAAGAGATTCTGTATCTTATCATTTTTCCCTTAATTGAAAATGGGGTTTTGAGTAAATCAGATAAACTGATTGATTGTAACAACCTCTCTAGTATGCTATTTCCTCACAGATTACCATGTAAGTGGTGACAAATTGGCTCACAGTCAAGTACCTGTGTAATCCAAGACTCAGAATTTCAGCTCTGCTGTTCTTTTTACGCAAGCCCTGGGGAAAACTGGCTCTTACCAGAACAGACACCTATGATAATTATACCAGGAAGCCAATTTAATCATTAAAACGTGAAAAGAAAATTTCTAGCAATAAGAATACATCTTTATAAGATAGTTTTTTAAAAAGAAAAAATCCTCTTCAACTTACATTTAATAAGAAAATGAGGATGTATTATTATTATTTTCTTCATTTTTCAGATCAGAAAACAGGCTCAAACGGGTTAAGTAATTTACCCAAGGTCTCTACTAGGAAGTGGCAAGGCTGTGACGTGGATCTCTGTCTGTGAAGCTCCAAAACTCATACTCTTAACTCCAATGCCTTATCTGCCACCCTTTTAGTGGTGCTGTATATGCTAAAGCTAAAAATCAGAAAAGCTTATCTACTAAAGAACCTTGAATACCAGGCTACAGAGTTTGCACTTAATTCCGAAAAAGTATAAAAAGGATTTAATGGGAATGACAGTGGTATTTTTAAAAGATTAGATTTTATTATGTACTGGAAGGGGAAGATAGTTGAGACATTGATGTAAATGGTTAGGATGTAGTACCAAGCCTTAGCTTTCCATTCTGCTCATGCATAAGGTCAGCCCAAATAATTTTGAAATTTAGTTGTCAGAAAGCAAATCAAGACTTGTTATAATGCGAAGACAGGCTGGGTATATAAATGCCTTAAAAATGAACTAGACCAAAAATTGATACATTTATTTTCTTGATTATTCCTTCAAAAACAGGGTTTTCTATCAGAATACATGTTTTAACACTGTTTAGCTTTTGATATTAACTCAACCATAAATTAAATAATTCTCATTTAATTCATTTAATATTCATTCATTATCAAGCATAATGTACCATTTTCAATGTTGATTTTCCATATATTAACATAAATATGTAAGGGAACACATATTTTCTATCTATTTTGGCAGAGCTTCATATTCATAGATGAGTGAAAGAACATTCTATCTTGTACCATCAAAAACCCTTTTTACACATTTCATGTTTTAAGAAAAATAAAAATTATATAGATAAGTAACCATCTTTCTTCTATGAAGACTTCCTATTGGTTCAGAAAAGAATTGATATATTCTTATAGTTTTTCAAAGTATAATTTTCAGGAAGCTAAAATTATGCATTTCATAAAAATATATGGTGGGCCAGTGTCAATGATTGACAACTCATTAATGAAGGATCCAGCAGAATTATAAAGCTGGTCCAAAAGTGGATAGGAAAGACATATATGGATAGTGAATTGAAGACAGAATGCTGAGATAAAATTAAATCTTTTAAAATTAGTTCGTGCAGTAAAACCATAATCTTTGGGTTATCTTTTCTACTAGGCAAAAATCATTTGTATTGCTCCTGAACAAAAAATTTCACCCATTTTTTGAATAATTTAATATCTAATTTCAAAGTCTCAGCCTTTACTTACTACATAGTAAGTAAAAAAAGAATGCATTCTTTCAGAGAATTGGATAATCTTTGAGAGGGACTATTAGAGGATGCTCCATTATGTCTTTGTAAGAACATGCAGTCATTCTTTGCCTTATATTCAAGTCTGAAATAATTTTCCTTAACGCCCTCTATCCCATAGTAAAAATAGTTAGTACTTAGGCTAATACTATGTGTCAGCACTTTGTATGCATTATTTCACTTAGTTCTCAAAATGAATATCAATGAGCATAAAGCTTTTTATAAAACTTATTTCTTTGGGAAAAGTTCTTAGAAGAAAAAACTTGGATGAGAGTTTGAATATTTTGAAGGTTATTGCTATACATAGCCAAATTTATTTCTAAATATGACATGTGACTTCATACCACTCAGAGGAGTACATTCAACTATCATACTGACACAGTTGAGCATCATCATTTTAAAAATTAGCCAATTTGGTAGATGCAAAATAAAATCCTGTTTCAATTTAACTATACAACATCTGGTTATTAGTGAAGGTGACTTTTAAAACACGGTTTCAGTTGCATGAGGTGGCACATGTCTGTGATCTTAATTACTGGGAGGCTGAGGCAAAAGGATTGCTTGGGTTCCAGGAGTTCCAGGCTATAGTGCACAATGTTTGCACATTTAAATAGCCACTGCATTCCTACTGTTAGTCAAAAAAGTGCAATATTGAGTAAAATAAAATAAATAAATAAATAAATAAATAAATAGCCACTACATTCCAGCCTGGGCAACACAGCAAGACCCTGACTCTAAATAAATAAATAAAATTTAAAAAAATACGTGGTTTTGTTATTTTTTTTTTATTGTTTGCTTATTTTTCTATTTAGGAATCAGTGTCCATTTTTTTATTATTCCTTTCGGCTTTTAATATCTGAGAGACATTAACCCTTTGCTTTTTTCCCCCAGCTTTATTGAGGTATAATTGACAAAAATTGCATACATTTAATGTGTACAAACCCCTTTGTCTTCAATTCTTATACATCAAAGAGCTCGTCATGAAAAAGTATTAATAGGACATTTTATGTGAAGATTAACAACATCCTACATGAGATTCATTTATGATAACTTGAAACTCAACATAAAATTATGCTAGTAAAGACGTAATGTTGTTTCCTCTTTGTCCATTGAAACTCTTTCATTAAAAAGTGCAATACACATACATATATAAAGTGTTAATAAGGGTGGAGAACCGAAACTACAATAAACACAAGGATATTTGTAGATGAAAAATTCTTATAAACTTGACTACAATAAATACATTAATAAGCAAACAGTACAGCTTTGGAGGTTTATATTTTGAACAACTTAGAATAACTAGGTAAACTTCCATAATAGTTTAAATCACTTTTTAGAGGTGCTAGTAAAATAAAATCAAGAACTGAAACAGAAGTAAACCCAACATTGTGTAATTTATATTGCTTCTAAAGTGCATATGGAAAATGTATATATACATATACCTTTAAGTTTATATATATAAAGGTGCTTACCTATATATTTATATAACAAAATATGTTATTCCTACTTTTGGTATTTTAAAGGTTTTCTCTGGAACCATTGACTGTCAATCCATTTTAATAAGGTGGGTATGTATTTTAAAATTATCTTATCTGCCAGGAATATAAAAAGGTAATTCAATTATAACATTGGCTACCATAATGTTTTTTATTTCATAATGATTTGGGGGTACACATAGATATCACATAAAATTATATAACATTATAAAGTAAAACATTTTAAATAATAATATACAAAACATACATGTACCTAAATACATAGAAATAGACAAAAAATATAGAGAACTAGAGAAGAATTATGATAGTAATGAAAAAATGATTAATCTGAGTGCTGTAGAATGCTGCATAAATCGTTGTGAATAAGGATCATGGAAACCTTCGAGATCACTTTTAGTTAGTTGGCTGTTGTTGGGGGTGGGGGGTGAGCTCCCAAAGAAAGTATGAGCCATCCATCTTCTTTGCCAAGGCACAGAGCCTCGCCAGCCAGAAGTGTAACTCAGAATGAACCCACAGTCTGTTGGTTTTCTTTTCCCTGCTTCCCTCCCTCACCGTCCACCGCTGCGGAAGGCCCCGATTAGAAGCGTGGAGGGGTGGGGGCGGGGAGTGGTTAGGGGGCGAAATCCTAGAAATAAGGTCCTGGGAAAACTCTCCCGGCCCTCGGCCCCAGACAGCACTTTCCCAGGGCCCCGCGGGTCCCAGGCACAGGTCGATGCCGCCCGGGGCGCCAGCAGCCGCCTCCCTCGCCCGGCTCTGTCCCCGCCCGCTGCCCGGTCCTGGGTTCGAGCTCTCGCGGGATCAGGTGAAGGCAGCCCTCCATTGGACTTTCACTGCACACTTTGAGTTCCATGGAGTCCTCGAGGTGTGTCCTCTCTCACTTTACTACTTGAGGGCGGGAGCAAACAATCTGCTTTTCCTCTGAAACTCCCGTGGCCCTAAAGGCCCAGTAAATGCCAAAGATGAGGCAGGGGTCAGCACAAACGCCGCGGGAGTCTCAAAAACCCCAGCTGGTTCCAAGGCCAAGGTTGTGATCAGTCAGTCCTGGAGCCCTTTCGTCCTTCAGGTCCTTCAGCTTTTGAAAAGTGAACTTGGGAGTGGGGAGGAAGGGGCTGGAGGAAGCTCTTGTAACTATGAATTGAGGGATTTAAAATCCCGAGTGTTCTGTGAGTCCTCCTTGCTACAATCTCCAGCTTCTTCGCTCCCCCTTAACGTGTTTGAAAGCGCTGACACCCTGGGCAGGGGATTTTTGGGTCTAAACTGTAGGCAAAGATTTCTTGGCCCTCACTCACGCTTGCCTTGATCAGATTACTTTTCGCGGACTGGAGCTGGCCTGGAGGTGGTGGGTAGTTACTTTTAATCCTTTTATGTGTGTTCAGTACACCTTGTGTGGTTGGGTGTGGAAGACGCGTGAAGGGGGTTTCCAAACCTAGTGAAATTCCTATTCCATGGGTATTAACCATGCCTGTGGGGTTGGCAGTTCTTAAAGTTTAGCTAGTCTGTAAATAACTGCAGAACACAATAGAGTCCCCCTCCCTTCCTCTCTCTTCTCTCTCTCTCTTTTTTTCTTTTCCTGCTTCCAAACGCCTTCTTTGAGGCTGAAGCTGGGCAGGTCTCCAAAGGTGCAGCAGCCACAACAATCCCGCAGTTAAAAGTTAAGCAGCAGTTGCACAACTTCCAGCAACTCTCTCAGCGGCTACTAATGAGCTGAACGCCAGGAACATCCGAGGAGGTGAAGAGAAAGCTTCCAGCGCTCCTCCTGTCACCCTAGAAATCCAGATATCCCCACCCCCAGATCACTTTAAGATACGCTCCTAATTATTCACTTGCCCGACAGACCATGTCTCCTTTTGGAAGAAACTTGCTAAAGACTCGGCATAAAAACCGGTAAAGTCAAGCGTGCGTGTGTGTGTGTGTGTGTGTGTGTGTGTGTGTGTGTGTGTTCACTCGGGATCCTTCGTGTGAAAATATGTGTTTTGTTACAGTTAGATTCTGATGAAAACTGCGTTTGGGGGCCAAAGTTCTAGGGAGTTAGGCTAATATGAATACCCAGAGAATAAAAATAGTGTCCCAGTATTGATGATGGCAGTGGCCATCTCAAGGATCGCAGAAAATAGTGAATATTTTTGACTCCCCCCCGCCCCCCGCCTTGACCAGTCCTGATTCCACAACTAGCAACACCAACAATTTCTCTTTTTATTGCCCTGAACCTTTGAGGGTAGTAGGATGACAAGTGTAATTTTCTTCAGACAAAATGAATATTACAGAAAGGGTTAAAATTTTGATGACATGACGATATAACTAGACTTCATAGTCACTAATTAGAATGAGAAACAGGGCTGCTAATACAATCCAGAAACAATGCTTTGGCTCCCCTGAGAGTGGGACATTCCTGAAACTTGGAAAGTTCCCAAAGTGAAAATACTCTGTAGAGAAACTTTGTGTGAAGTGATTCTTTCGAAAATCTTTCAGAACTATAGGTGGTTTAGGCATTAAAAGAGAATTCAAGCAGCTGTCCTCCCTAATCCTTATTACTATTTTACTTTTCTTTGATTCAATATTTCAAGCCCGAAATGCCCAAAGTATAAATAAATGTACTTAAAACAGACATACAGATTTTTCTTGAGCCAGTATGTGTGTTTCAGTCCTTAAATATTTTATTTACACCTCAAATGTTACATTTTTTATGCCAAAAAATGTGGGGATAATTTTAGACATGGGCTTTTTAAAAAAATATATTTGTTTTGACATAGGGTCTTTTCCACTACTCTTCTCTCAATCATACCTGTTTGTACTTGTCATAATTTGCTTAGTGTAAGTTTAGAAGGATACAATTACATGGTAGAAAATGATATAATTATTTTAAAGTGTCTGCATGACAATATAGAGTGATACAACTTTAAAATAAATCTCCATATTTTATTTGGTGCATAAATGTCTACTTCAAAAATTCTGTTATTAACTCTATCCAAATGTATTCACGATTAAGTTGACTAAATTTCCTTAAGAAGCTAAAACAGCCATAATAAATACTGTGAAACTTTTGAAACCAGTTTTATTTTCTAATAACTTTATGATATATTGCAAATATGATATTTATGATAATTATAGGTAGTGAAACTAT